AAACATTTGGAAAAAATGAAAATGTCACTTTGCTTGTGTGATGGTTTTACAGATGCATATGCATCTGTGATCATAGCATATATACTTTATATAAGTGCAGTCTATTGTCCTTCATTTGTATCTCAATAAAGCTATAAAACTTGTTAATGGGAACTAATATCCAAAACCCACCATTCCCAAAAGGAAAGAACTGCTACTAAAAATAGACTTCACAGTACCAATAGGCCATTAAAGAGCCAAGTCCCACATGCTCCACTTAGGAAACTCTCTAATGAGAATTTCATTATCAGAGTACAATTCAGAAATACTGATATTCCCATTAATAAATAAGCATGAACACGGTATAAAAAAAGCTATAGTTTATACGATCAGCAATATTTTAATATAATTTTATTATTATTGAGGTGTTATACACAGAGGGATTACCATTTAATAAGCCAGGTAATGAATACAACTCTTTTTGGAAAATGTTACCCCTTCCTTTGATTGGGCAACTATATATATATGGGGGGGGGGGAGACTCGGTAGTGGAGCCTGAACTCTGGGCCTGGGCGCTGCCCCTCAGCTCTTCAGCTCAAGGCTAACGTTCTACCACTGGAGCTATAGCACCACTTCTAGCTTTTTCTGCTTATGTGGTGCTGAGGAATCAAACCCAGGGCCTCATGCATGCAAGGCAAGCACTCTACCACCTTCCCAGCCTGTTAATATCTTTTTTTAAAGGACACAGAAAAAAAAAAGTTTTCAAGTATGTTGTACTACCTACCCATCAACTCAAAGCGTTTCATTATTTGTTAAAAACAAGGTTAATCTCAAACTTCCATAAAATGATAATGAATGTGAAAAGGCATGATAGAATGACTACCATAATTCCAGTGATTTGACAATTTATCATTATCATGTAGCATGTCGTAGGTCCTGGCCACACATATGAAAACATTTAAGCCTATTTTCAACTCTTTTCTGACCTACAAGCATTAAAAAAAAATCTTTATTGAAAAGGTGATGAGTAGGTGGGTTACAGATACATAAGGTAATGAGTACATTTGGTTTTAAACATTATTACCCCATCACTCATTTTCTCCTGCTTACCCTTCAAGTTGTAAGGCTCATATCCAACATTGTGTCAAGTGAGTATCAATGTTGCTTTAGTTCGTCCTTAGTCCTTCTGTTTCTGTGATTCCCTTTCCCTTCCACAAATCAAACTTATAGATAAGACACCAGGTATAGAAAACTAAGAGAAACAAACAAAAATATCTCCATATAGGACATAATAAGAACCTCTTGTTTCCATATCTTGGAGTTCATGTTGGTATGCTTCATCATATATGCACTAAGCAATTGGGTTATTGAGATCTCCTGTTAAGAATATTATAGACATATTCTAGTTCTTACAAATGAGGGAAACCATGCAAGCTACTTTTCTTTGAGTCTGGCTTACTTCATTTAGTATAATTTTTTCCAGGTCCATACAAATGGGGCAATGTTATTCTTTCTAATGGAAACAAAGAAATCAATTGTTCTATAAGAATTAAGAAGTAGGTTGAGTATGTTTCTTAGAAAAGGATTTTAATTCGTCTCCATATCCTTTGTTGTTTTAATTCTGCCAATCTTAAATGACTGGGGTTCTCCATGGTTTCATTCTTTTTTTTTTCTAATCTCATTTCTCATCATTGGTTCTCAAACTTCAGTCTCCTAGGAAATTAGTTAAAAATAAATATTCCTGCCGGGCGCCGGTGGCTCACGCCTGTAATCCTAGATACTCAAGAGGCTGAGATCTGAGGATTGAGGTTCAAAGGCAGCCTGGGCAGGAAAGGCCATGAGCCAAACCTCCAATTAACCAGTAGAAAACCAGAAATGGCGCTGTGGCCCATGTAGTAGAGCATTCACCTTGATCTGAAGAGCTCAGGGATAAAGCCCAGGCCCTGAGTTCAAGCACCACCACCGACAAAAAAAAAGTATTCCTTTGGCTATGTGCTGGTGGCTCATGCCTATAATCCTAGCTACTCAAGAGGCTGAGATCTAAGGATCAAGGTTTGAAGCTAGCCTGTGCAGGAGAGTCTGTGAGATTCTTATCTCCAATAAACTACTCAGAAAAGCTAGCAGTAGCATTATAGCTCAAGTGGTCGAGTGATAGCCTTGAGCAAAAAGCAGCTCAGAGACAGCACCAGGACCAAACACACACACACACACACACACACACACACACACACACACACACACACACACACACACACACACACACACACACACACACACACACACACACACACACACACGAATTCCCAACAGTTCAGATTCTGATTGATGAGAGCACATTCATCTTCATATTTTTTAACAATTATCTCCAAGGGAACCAATACACATCTGAGAAACATTGCTTTAACCACTTCCCTAGAGCTTATAAATATTCCCATTTGTGGAGAACAATATCTGCAATTGCATTTTATAATTGATGATTCTCTATTCAATATTTCAAAACAACTCTTCATTTAAGGTCCAAACCCATTTATATTTGTTCCAAATGTTACTCTTCATTCAGAACTTCTCAATTCAGTGAATGCTTTCAACAACATCTGGTTGCCAAAGCCAGAAACTTAAGATATTCTTGTTTCTCCTTGCCTCTCATCTCTAATCATCATGCATATTCCCTACATATTATTACTATAAACCTACAATATATTGCTACTGTTCCAGGCCACACATTCTCCATTTCTTTCTTCAGTTACTATACCAGCTTTGGAACCAGTTTCCCAGCATCCTTCCAACTCATCCATTACAAGGCTATGGTTTCCTTCCAGTATAAAATTCCAACATGTTGGCATGCCATAAAAGGCTCTTTGTGACTGGCTCTTGACAATCTTTCTAAAAGATGTCTCTGCAAACCTTCCATCCTTTGTGCCAGTAATATGGAACTATTTGTTATCAACTTCTTTGCCAGTTCAAAATGTGGTTCTCTCTTGTGAAAAATTTTCCCCAGACTTAACTGCTTCATTTCTTGATTTTCAAATCTGTGCTTAGGAGTCACCTTCTCTGTTAACCATTCTCTTTCAAACGATCACTTCCCTTCCTCAAAGACAAGTATTAAATTCCCACTCAAAAATATTTACTAAGCCAGGTATAATGATGAATGCCTACATCCCAACACTCAAGAAAGATGAGAGAAGGAAGAGAACTTCCAGGCCAGCCTAGGTTACAGTGAGATTCCCCCCGCCCAGATAGGAGGAAAAAGATTACACGATAGTGTGTTGATGTACTTGAAAATTTAGCATTTAGATTGCTAGTTCTGTTTTTCACATCTGTACACCCAACCCACTAGACAATGGGCACAAAGAAAACATTTAGTTAAGTGTCATCTGAATGAATGCATTCATGTACTGAGCGCTTCTAATGAGAATTTCTTTTGTATCAACCATGGAAAAATTTTCAATACACAGAATAAACTGTCATTGCAGCCAAGTAGTTTGATGTATTTTTAAAAATTATCTTTATTTCTGGTTCCATTAAATGTATAATGTGTGAAAAAATGCAGGTCTAAAACTCATACGCTCTATTTGTATGAGACATAAATATGTATATATATGTGTGTGTGTGTATATATATATATATATATACACACACATATACATATATATGGCAAGCTAGGTTTCCCTTCTCCGCCATAGGTTTAGACCTGCACTGTCCAATCCAGTAGCCACTATCTACAGGTGGCTATCTATTTAAGTCAATTAAAATTAAATAAAAATTTAAAATTCGGTTCCTCAGTGACACTAGCCACATCTCAAGGGTCCCAAAGCCACGGGTGGCTGGCTGGTGGCTATGATATTGGACGGTGCAGATTTTTTTTTTTTTCCGACAGCGCTGGCGACAGCAATTATAAAAGGACCTCGGAAACCCTCACTTACTTCTTAGCTCCCACGATCCTGGTGCTCCTCTGCAGCTTAAGGGAGGTGGGTCCCGGGGTCTAGCAAAATCACAAGCACACGAGTGAGGGCGGGGGGGCCTCCTGAAGCCCGACCACAAAGAGAAGAATCCCCCGGGTGCCTCCAAGGGACGCTCTCGCGGGACAACTACCTCAGGCGAAGCAAGCAACGCTTTTTAGGAAAAGTATGTCGTCCTAGTTGCCTACAACGGGAAGGCAGGTGGCAAGACCAGAGCCTTCATCTTTCCCCATTCTCAAAGCGCTGCTGTCCCAGACGGAGGCTCGAAAAGGGAAAGAAAGAGGAAGGGGGAAAAAAACCAAGGGCTCTGGGAGGCGCCGAGGATACAAAGGAAATAGAAGCTAATGGAGGCCAGGAGGTAGGAAACAGGAAGGGGAAAAAAAAGTGGGGAAAGAATGGGGGGCTGGTGGATCTGCTCTCAAAGGGTGGGGCCTACGGTGGGCTCGGATAAAACCAACTCTCGAGCGCGGGACAAAGCGCGCAGCCGCGCAGCCGCGGCCGGGGGGGGGGGGGGGGCTCGCGCTCTCGGTTTTGTTTTTTGTTTTGTTGTTGTTTTCTCTCTCTCGCTAAATCGTTAACGGTCACACCAAGAAACTCACGGCGGGGACAGCATCGAGCCGGGAAGACATCACTCCCTCTCCACGCCTAACAATTTCACCCGAGGGCTCCGGCCGCACCGACGCCACTTCCGCTCTCTCCGCCTTTCCCGGATGTGGACTCCGCGCCGCCTGGTCCCCCGGCTCAACACACTCACTTCCGCCTCGCCGCTTCCGAGCGGGGCTGCGGCTGTCGGGGTCACGTGACGACCCCCTCCTCGGCCCTCTTCCCCCTCCCGCCGGCTCCGAGTCCTGTGAGACCCCGCCCCCCTCCGACGCGGCCGCCGACCCGCGAGACAAGTCTGGGGGGGAGCTGGGAGCCCAGGGGCGGCCTCAACGCTCCTTCCCTGGGGTTCCCCCCGCCCCTTGGCAGGACACCTTGTCTCCCTCCCTGGCCCACCCTCACCCCACCCCACGAATGGGCGTGTGGATGCACATGGAGTTCAATTATTGCCTCTTTATTCATCTTAGTGAAACCGCAGACCCATTCATTCTCAGTCCCCTTCCCTCCAAGTGGAAAGAAACGGAAGCCCTTCCATTGTTGAGGGTGCAGAATTGGAGGCAATAGCTGGGAAAGGAAAGGAGCCAGCGGGTGACGAGGTTAGGTGAAGACTTGGGGGAGACAGTCTCGAATCGGAGCAGATCGCTCCTCACCTGCTAGCTCCGGGCCTCCACATTTGCCACGCTCTGGGATGTTTCGGTGTGTCCCTCGGAGATAGGTTTGGGTAACTATGTGTGGACCTCTCCTTAGGGGAGCCGTGCTTGAGTCTCTCTCTCGGGGGACTGGAATGGGTCCTCTCAGCATGGCGGTGTTGGCTTCTCTCTGGTTGACTGGGTGGACTGCTCTCAGAGTGGCTGTGGCGGCTTCTCCTGGAGGGACTAGGAGTCCTCCTCTCAGCCCGACTGCGGTGGCTTCTGGGCGAGGGCCTCGGCTCCGAGAGACGGGGATGGGATCTCCCGGAGGAGCTGTGTCCTCCTCTCTCAGAGAGGCTGCCATGGCTCTTGTCGGAAGGACTTGGCCATCTCCTCTCAGAGGGACTGAGGTGGCTCCTTTCTGAGACTCTGTGACGTCTCCTCTCTGGGGGATTGGAGTGGCTCTTCGAAGACCTGGAGTGACCTCGCTCCGAGCGTCTCCATTGCCTCTTCCCTGAGGAACTTCGATGTCTTCTCTCACAGGGACTGGCCTGGCTCCGCTGAGAAGACCTGTGGCGTCTCCTCTCGGAGGAACTTCGCTGTCTTCTCTCAGAGAGATTGCGGAGGGTTCTCTCAGAGGGGCTGAGGTGGTTTCTGCCGGAGGGAACGCCGTGGCCCCTCTGAGAGAGATGGCGAAGAGTTCTCTCAGAGGGGCTGAGCTGGTTCCTCTGAGAGGCATCCCATGGCGTTCTCTCCTGGGTGTCTTTCTCTACAAGGTAACTTTTCAAGGTTCTCTTGGAAAGGGAACGGGTTACAATTGTCCCTTGGGCTTGAAATCTGGCTGCTGCTCTGGGAAAGTTCTTAGACTCTTGGCTGGAGACTTCGTCTTTGTCACGGTTTCTCTTTGCTCTCCTGCTACTGTCATTTTGCACTGTGCCCAAAAGCTGTATGTTCGAGGTGGTTTGGAAAGTGGTATCTGTTTGGAGGACAGCGGGCTCAAGATGTTGGAGAGATCTAAGTGTCTGGCAGGAGTTGACTCTTTCTAGCTGTTGAGCTGATCTGCATTCATCTGTCCCTCCTGAAGGCACTATGTCCTCCTGCTTAGTGGTTGGAGTGGTTGGTCTTTGCTTATCAACCCGCCTCCTGGTTCTTCTGCTATCTCTTGCTAAGTAATACTCCCTGGATCTTTGTTTTGCATGGTACTTTTTGCCTGAATGCAAATTATCTGGCTTTGCCCTGTCCTCAGATTTCTGTCCAACCAAGGCTATGATTCTATGTGCTGTTTGAAATGCCTGCCTTACACCCTGAAAAATCAGTTGCAGGAACTTAGGCTGGGAAGATGAACTAGGTTGTCTTTTTAAAGAAGCAGAACTTGTCTGAGCTGCTCCCATCTTCCTCCTCGAATGGGCTGGTAATTCTCTTGAGGGACTCTTGGTGTAGAACTTTGTGTCTCTCTTTAATGTATGTTTTGAATCAGGGGTCTTTGTGGTTCTTACTCTATTCCATTTTTTAATCTGGTTACTCTCAGAGTCAGTCTCAAGTAGGGTGTGAACTGGAGGGAATTCACTCTTCCTACGCACTCTTGACTCTCCAGCTAAGTTGGGCATGCCCCGTTGCCTTTGCCTGACATGGACTTGTACAGGAGGAGGAGACTGGGAAGATCCAGATCTGAGATCTCTGGTGGGAGTAGGGCTTTTGGAAGCTGGAGTGTAGATTTTACCTTTCCTTTGTGATGGCAATTTAGACTTCCTTGGTACGACCGATCTGTCTCTTCCACGATATTTTGACCACTTAGGTCTTTTCCCAGTTCGCAACCTAAAGCCAAGATGCAACCGAATCTCACCACGGCCCTCAGGCGTGCTCACAAGGTGGAGCTGAGGATAGATAAGCAAATAAGGCCCCAAAGCAGCCTGAAATTTATGACAGCAATTAAATCCTGAACACCGTCCACACTGTAGGCAAATGGGGTACTTTAAGACAAGACCTGAAGCTAGAGGTGGAGGCACGTTGGGAGGGATTTGACTCCTTAAGAGTTTTGCTGCAATTTTTAGCTGCAGCTCTTGTAGCAAATTGAACTGTTCAGAGATGTCCAGCTTGGTCTGGGAAAAATAACTTGTCTTGAGGGAAAGTTGGGACTCAAAAATCCTTGCCTGTGAGTTTTCACTCTTAACTATGGGAGCAGGATCTTCCCCATGATAAAATATCCCAAATGAAGATTCTGACTTCACTAGGACAGGAAGCTTACTCCTTGCACATGAGAGAGGTATGTGCTGAGTGAACTCCTGTGATATGTCACTGAGCTTTGACTTTGTTTTCTTTATTCCCAGTCTACTCCCTGAGTATTGCCGTATTATGGAAGATATAGAGCCACGTGTCCACATCCTTAAAGCCATTCTTTTCTCAGGATGATGGCATAGTGTATGTCTCTGAATATAGTTTTTGACTACCGAAGGCTGTGAAGTAATTCTTGGACCCTTTTCTAGCCATCTCCTGGAAAATTCCATCAGTTCAGCTGGAACACCAAATAAATTTTGAATAGATGTACAGATATTCGTTGTTGCTCTTTCTCCTAAAGATGTTTGAGAACAAAGCTTCCTCTCCATAGTTGTCCCCAAGACATTGCCGAGCATTAACATACCGGAGAGATATTTCCTAGGTAATCGTTGTCTACAGGCATGACTCTCCCAGACATTCTTTTGTCTGCCCAAGAAAGAATGGAGAGAACCTCTCTGAGTCCGCGATCCTACTTGAAAGGTCTCAGCAGATGATCTCCGGCTTTGTGGTGGATATTGAAAATGGCTGTGAAGCAAGTGCTCTAACTTATTCATATGCTTACTCTTAGTTCTCTTAGATGTTACATCTTCTTTCCAGATCTCAAGATGAAGAGTTTCCATGGTGTTTGCTGTTTTGTCAAAGGGCTGATTATGAAGGGCCAAAGGAAGGGCTGAAGACTTTGTTGTAATATCTATCCCAAGGTTTTTCATATCCAAATCTCTGGATACTTCTGGTATCCCCAAGTCCCGAAGGCTTCCTAATTCAGAGATTTGGACAGAACTTGAAGTGAGTGAAATTGAAGGGCTGTGTAGAATCCTAGAGAAAGAATTCCCTTCTTGTAACTCTTCTGATGTTAACTCCTCTGAGTTATTCTGGCATACCTGTCCTGGGTTCAGGTCCTCGGGGTCTATTATGTTAGGAGGCTCTGTTTTTGTCCCTGTGGATTTTACAACCTGAAGCCTTTGCTCCTGAATAAATACTATAGGTTCTTTATATGATGTTTGCTGTGAGGTTATTTCTGCAGATTTCACTTGGGTATTTGGCCTTGGAGTTAATTCCATAGGTTTTCCCAGTTCTTGAAGGTGTGGCTTTGGGAGTCCACTTAAACAATCCATTACTTCAATCCCGGATCCTGTGGCAGCTCCTGTTGTTTCTACTACCTGAGGAATTGGTCTTGGCGCTAATTCCTCTGATTTTACAATCTGAGGCAGTGGTCCTGGGATTAACACAGTCTTTATTATTTGACATCCTGTCAGTGCCATCGCTTCCAAAATTTGGTGTGTTGGCTCCGTGATGAATTCCTTCGATTTCACATTTTGTAACCTAAGACCTGAAGCAAACTCTGAAGGTGTCACCTCTTGTGGTTTTGGAGTGAACTTAACATATTCTGCCTTCTGCAGGGTTGGCCTTGGTAGTGTCACAGACTTCACAACTTGAAGTCGTGGCCCAGGAATGACTTTCACAGAAGGAGCTACTGGGGTGACCTCTACTGAGCAACCTACTTGAAGCTGGGCCCTTGCTGTGACTTGATCTAGTGGCTTTGAATTGATTCTCATACATTTCATCACTTGACCCAGTGATCCTGCTAGGGCTGTTTCAGAATTTTTCATACTTTGATTCTGTGGTGGTTTTAGTCTAACTGATACATTCTCTTGCTGCCATGTCTCAGAGCTGAGTTCTACAGATTCTCCATGTCCTACAGTTTGATTTGTTTGCTTTGAGTGCAACTTGAAAGATTCCTCTGTTTGCAGCTTAGAGGTCACACTTAAAGATTCCAGGCATTGATGTCTTAACCCTAATGCTACTCCTGAAGATCCCACATGATGCTGTGACTTAGAGGTTAATTTCATAGGTTTCTCACAAGTCAATAGAGGTTCAGAAACTTGATGTCCTAACCTTGATGTCATGACAATAAATTCTGGTACTTGAACATCTAGTTTCAGAGATATTCCTGAAGATTCTGTGCCTTTACATGTTGTCAATGGGGTCAACCCCGCAGTTTTCTTCAGTGTTTCTGGGACTTTATGTGCCAATGTTTGTGTCATATCTGGGGCTTGATAAATTGGTATTGAATTCAAACTACTATACTGAGGGACTTGGTACCTGGGCTTTGGGATTGTCTCTGTGTGTCCTACAAATAGAGGCCATGATCTAGGGATTTCAGAGGATTCTGTGGTTTGATCACTTGCTTTTGGAGTTCTGGCCCCAGATTTCATTTTTTGAGGCAGTAACTTTGGTGGTAACGTCATAGACTTCACAGTTTGTTGCAAAGACACTGAAGACAATTTCACGTGTTTTACACCTTGCAACTTTGGCTGTGAAGTAAACGTGAAAGGTTTCAAACCTTGTGGCTGTGACTCTGGAGACATATTTGAAAATTTGACACTGGTCAGTTTGGGTCCTTGTAAGAACATCCTAGTTGACGTTGGTCCTAATGTCATTGGTTTCACATCTTGCCATCCTGAAGTGAACTCCTGGCAATTCGTGCCTTGCTGTTGGGACCCTAGCTTCAGCTCCTCGGGTTTTACATCCTGAAAACATGACTTTGGTGCAAAGACCATAGATTTGACACATTGTGATCTGAAGTATGGTGTCAACCTTAAAGAACTCATACTTTGAGGTGGCCCAGGTTTCAACTCCGAAGTTTTCGCATCCTGCAAACATGACTCTGGTACAAAAACCACATTTTGTCGTGTGAGGTGAGAGGACACCTTCTCAGAATTAATAACTTGTGGATGTGTCTCTGTTTTTAATGCTACAGGTGTCACTTTCTGACAACATGGCTTTAGTGGAAACATCTTATATTTCAAGTCCTGTTGCTCGGAGCCAGACGTCAAATTCATAGCAGTTAATGGCTGTTTGCTCATATCCACAGATGTTTCATCTTTAAGCAGTGGCTCTGGTAAAAATACCACAGATTTCTGATCACTTGACTGAGGCCCCAGAGTGAACATACGTTTTTCAGCTTGCTTCTGTGACCCAAGTTGGTTCTCCAAAAACTGGGCTCCTTGATACTTTGTCCCAGGTGTTAACTCAAATTTTTCAGCTTGCATGTATGGGCCAGAATTGAACAGAACATATTTTGTACTTCGAGATTCTGAACCATAGTTCAAGTGAGAGGGCTTCATGTTTTGTACTTGTGGCCCAGGACTGCACTTTTCAGAATTTATGCGCTGGTATTTTAACTCTGAATTCAACTCAGAAGAATTCATACCTTGAAGCTGTGGACCAAAATTGACCTTGGTTGATATTATACCTTGACACTCTGTCCTTGGAGTCAGTTCATACTGTATGTCTTGTAAATGTTGCACAGAGTGGAACACATTGGATTCTGTATCTTGAACTTCTGGCCTTATGTGAAACTCAGAAAATCTCATACCTTGAAGTTTTTTCCCTGAAGTACCTTCAGAAGCTTTTGTACCTTGCAGGTATGTCCCAAGTTTGCATTCTGTGGAATTTATAAAATGTGATTTTGTCCTTGGATTCAATTTAGAAGAATTCATACACTGTGCTTGTGACCCTGGGTTGCATTCCGTGGGTGCTACACCTAGAAACTTTGATCCTGGAGTCAATTCAGAATTCATATTTTGCAAATGTGATCCAAAATTGACTGTCACACATGTCTCACTTTCGATTTCGGTCTCTAGATTGAACTCAGGTTTTATACATTGAAATTTTGAGATTTCAGGAGATTCAGATAGTTTAACATCTTGCAAATGTAGTCCAGGGTTGCACTGAATAGAGGTTACACATTGAAGCTGTGACCCTGGAATGCATACAGAAGAATATGCACCTTGCAAATGTGACCCAGGGTTGCAACCAGTAGAGTTTACACACTGAGGTTTTGGCTCTGGAATGTATGCAGAATTCACACCTTGCAAATGTGGCTCAGGGTTGCATTCAATAGAGTTTATACACTGAAATTGTTGCCCTGGAATGGATATAGGAAATTTTAATGGACCAGTGTTACAGCCAGTAGGCCCAACACACGGAGACTTTGGTCCTGGAAAGCATGTAGAAGAATCTGCATATTGAAAATGTGGCTTAGGGTCGCACCCCATAGAATTGACACACTGAGATTTGGGCCCTGAAGTGCACGCAGAAGAACTTGCACTTTGCAAAGGTAACCCAGGGTTGCACCCAATAGCATTTACACATTGAGGTTTTGTCCCTGTAAGGCATGCAGGAGAGTTTACACCTTGAAAATGTGGATTATATCCATTCAAATCAATATATGGTGGTATGGGCCCTGAAACGCATGTAGATGAATTCGCACTTTGCAAATGTGGTCCAAAGTAGAACATCTTAGATTTCATATCTTCAAGCTCTGGCCCAGGTTTCAGCTCAGAAGAGTTTATGCCTTGTAATTGTGCTGTCAAGTTTTTATGCTGAACCCGTGGCCCTGGATTAAGTTCAGAGGATTTCCCACTTTGCAATTCAGGCTCATGCTTTAATTTCAGAGGTTGTGCATCTGGAAGCGTGGTCTCTATGCGCAGCTCAAAAGGTTTTATCCCTTGCAGCTGGGGCTCTAATGATTTTGTACCTGGAAACTCCGTTCCCAGGGAAATTTTCACTTCTTGCAACTGTTCTGAATTGAATTTCATAGATTTCACATCTTGAAACTTGGTTCCTGTGCATAATTCTGAAGACTTTATATGCTGCAAATGTGACTCCGGATTAAACACCATGAAGTTTACTCCTTGAAACTGTGGCCATTGACTTGATTTATGAGATTTCTCATCTTGACGCTGATTCCCAGCATTGAATTGAGAAGGTCCCATACTATGAGAGAGTTTTGCAACCTGCAATTTGGTGTCATGGTTGACTCCTGTATTGTTCACCATTTGAAGGCTTATGGACTTAGATTTTACACCTTGCAACTTTTCCTCAGGGTTGAATTCCATGGATTTCATGTCTTGAAGTTGTATCTCTGGAGTCACCATAAATAATTTCCTATTTTGTAGCTGAGGGGCTGAGTTGACCTGAAATGGTCTCCTGGATTGTACCTTACTTAAAGTCAATTGAAAAGACTCCACATCTTGCCACAGTGTCTGAGGCATGAACCCCACAGATTGGTCTTTTTGAAGCTTTGTCCCTGGAATCATGTGAGAAGATTTTACACATTCCAGGTGTGGCTCAGAACTGACCTCCACAGGTTTTACATCTTGAAGCTTTGTCCCCAGGATCAACTTAGAATCTTTTGTACCTTGCAACTGGTTGCCTGAGTTGTACTTCATAGCTTCCTGATCTGGTATTAAGTCAGAGGTCACATTTTGTAACTTTAAACAATCTTTGGACTCTACAGATTTCCCATTTTGAAACTTTGTTCCTTGAATCAACTCAGAAGATTTTTCACCTTGTATCTGTGTGGCAGAATTGAAGTCCACTGAATTCACACCTTGAAATTTTGTTCCTGTGATCATCTCAGAAGATTTCACACTTTTAAAGCATTGTCCAGAACTGAACTCCATTGATTTTGCACCTTGAAATTTTATACTCATGAGCAGCTCAGTAGGGCTTCTGTCTTGTAATTGTAGGCCTAAATTCAGTCCTACAGTTTTCACACCTGAGAACTCCTCTCCCAGGGTTAAATCAGGCTTCTCACCTTGTAACTTTGGACCTGACTTGACGTCTACAGATTGCACATCTTGAAACTTTTCCCATGGAATTGCTTCAGATTTCACACCCGATGACTCAAAGCTGAAATTAATACCTTTTACATCTTGAACTTTTATACCTGGGATCATTGTAGAAGATTTCACATCTTGTAACTGTGGGCCTGATTCTAATTCTACCAAGTTCACATCTTGAAGTTGTGTCTTCAGTATTGACTTGGAAGATTTTATTCCTTGCAACTGTTGCCCAGGTTCGAAGCCTGTAGATTTGCTGTCTTGAATCTTGGTCCCCATTGTCAAATCAGAAAGTTTCTCTTCCTTCATCTGTGACCTAGGGCTTAAGGTAAATTTTATATGTTGGGAATTTGTCTTAGGTGTCAACTGAGAACATTTCATACTTTCATACTCAGCGTTGAGTTCCTCAGATTTCATGCCTTGAAGCTTTTCCTGGCTAGCCAACTCAGACAATTTTATACTTTTCAAATGAAGTAGGGAGTTTAGCGCTACAATTTTATCACTTTGTAATTGTGGTCCTTGGCTTAACATCTTGGATTTCATTTCTGGAAGCTGAGTATCTTGTATAAACGCTGGAGACTCTCCATCTTGAAACTGGGTTCCTATGGATGACTCGAAGGGCTTTACTTTTTGTAGCTGTATTTCTGGGGTCAACTCAGATTTCATATGTTGTAAATGAAGACCAGGTTTGAATGCCACTGGCTTTAAATTACTAAGTTTTGACCTAGAAATTGAGTCACCTGATTTTATGCTCCACCACTGTACCCCAGATTTCGAATCAATAGATATGAACCCTTGCGGCTGATGTTCCTGGAGTAGTGCTGAAGGTTGTATGCCCTGAAGCTTTGGCCTTGGAATCAACTCTGCTGTCTTTTTATCTCTCAACTTTACTGAAGGTTTCAACTCTTGAAACTGTGATCCAAGATTTAGCATAGATTTTGTAACTTGGAATTCAGGTCTTGGCATCTGCTGAATAGATCCCATACTTCCAAGCCATGGCTTTTTGTTTAACTCCACAGTTTCCACACCTCCAAGCTGTGGCTCTGAGGCTGAAGCAGAAACTTTCCTACTTTGTAGCTCTAATCCTACAGGCAATTTGGGGGCTTTCTCACACTGCAACTGTAGCCCAAGACTAAACACAGATTTTTCTCCTTGGGGTTTTGAGCCTAGAGTCAACGGACAGGACTTTGCATCTCCCAAGTGTATGGATGGCTTCAATTCTGAAGGTTTGACACCCTGAGATTGTGACCCAAGATTTAACCCTGCAGATTTTACACCTTGGAATTCAGGACCTGGAATCCACTGAATAGATGTCATACTTCCAAGTTGTGGATCTTTGCTTATTCCCACAGTTTTTATGCCTTGAAGTGGTGGCTTCAAAGTCCATTCCCAGGGTTTCACTTGGTGTAGCTGTGGCCCGGGGGTCACCTTGAATGGGTTTGTATTTTGCCACTGTGGTTCACATTTGAACTCTTCAGCTGTAATACCTTGAGTAACTGGTTTCGGAGCCATTTTAAATGATTGCATATCTTTACACCACTGTACCTTGGAGTTGAGGTCTACAGATTTTATAGCCTTGGATTTAGGCTCTGTAATTACCTTCAAAGATTCAGACCCTCTCTTCAATTGGTCTACATTCACAAACCACTCTGGTGGGTTTGCCGACGATATTGGACCATCCTTTCCAGGCCCAAGAGCTAAATCCACAGGTGTTATTCCCTGGAACTGTTGCTCTGGTGTTAAATCTACAGACTTTATTCCATGAAACCCATTTCTCCTGATTATATTCACAGACTTTAGTACCTGCTTCTTTATCCTTGGGTTAAACTTCACAACTATGAAGCTTTGTAGCTGCTGGTTTTGAATCTTCTCTGCAGATTTTAAAGTTTGCTGCTTAAAACATTTGCTAATCTCTTCAAGTTTTATATCCT